GATGGAAGATGAAGAGGAAAAATGTACAAGTTGACTTTGCTGCTGTGTGTGCAGAGATTTTCAGGAACTTTTGTGAATGTGGTCAGTGTAGTTGTTTTTCTTTTTCAGTTCAGCCACAGGAACCATTGCTGTTCACCCCAACTACATAGTTATTTTTCTATAAATTATTACAAACAAACTCCTGCCAGAAAAAAAAAGTTTTAGGAACTGGGTTCATGTCAATCAGGTTATATTTAATGTCAGCATGAACATTTTGCAGAACTATTTACCATTAATCTACATTACAATACAAACATTAAACCTGGAATACTCAGATCACACATGTGAGGCAAAACAATGATCACTACGGGAGCCCCAAAATGCAAAACATGGCCATCTTGGACAATCAGTTAGGCCTTACCTGAAAAACCACAACCTTGCCATCATCAGCCTGCAGGTAGAAGGTCCAGGTCGAGGAGATGAAGCTCTGGGCAGAACTGACAATGTCGTTGCACCAACTGGACACAGCCTCCATCACAGAGGGGGGCTTAGGGCGGAGAGTCATGGCCTTGAGCTGTGGAGGAAAGAGCAGGACACTGACTGTGTATACATGTGCTTCAGTACATGTACACACTTGTATTCTCAGTAGTGATATTAATATTCAGACATCTGCAATTATGGCTGCATTTGCAGTATTTATTTGTGCAGCCATTGACTGCAGTGGCCTTTCTCACCTTCCTTCTCTTGATCTCAGGTTCAGAGGGTTGGCTGGCACAGCCGGTGCTGCAGGCCTCCTGCTCAAGCAGCTTGATATATGCCTCCTGGCAGGCTGGAGAGGGAAGGAGAGAGAGAGAGAGAGAGAGAGAGAGAGAGAGAGAGAGAGAGAGAGAGAGAGAGAGAGAGAGAGAGAGTGAGTTGTGAAGCATGAATGAAGACGTATGATGGTAAAAAAAAAGAAGAAGAAGAAGACGGGGTTGAGAGTGCAAATGGAGGAGTGAGAAGAGAAATAAGCAGAAAAGAGAGCAGGCATTGAGCACTGCAGTCAGTTGGGTAGAAGATGAAATTGTCTGCAGAGACAATTCACTCCATGTTGCTGTTATGGAAACGGGGAAGGGGGGGGGGGGGCAACAGGGAATCTTCTGTCTGGACAGCAAATCACATCATTGATTTCCAATACAGCAGTTGAAAAAGGGCGAACAGCCTCAAACACCCAGAAAATGCCCACTGAGCACGCCTGCTTTTAGGAAATAATGCAATATTTAGCAGAGCTGTGTTCAACATTTTGGTGTTTAAGAGGTGTCCACCGCAGTGCTTGAAATTCATTCAAATGTTATGTAGCTGCTATCTGCTTTTGTCTTGCAAACCTAGACTTTACATGTGTTTTTGATTCCACCTGAAATGCTCATTTGGCACAATATATTCTGTCCAGCTTCTACCCAAAGGACACCACAGTAGGCTATATTTACCTTTAGGTAAAAAGAGGGAATCAATGACATTTACTTTCCTGTCTTATCAAAAGGATCAGAAGGACTCTCACTCCCTCAAAGTTTTAAGATGCTATTCAAGTAGAAATAAGTGAGACACTATAAGAAGTTCAACATGCAACTTATGTTGCAGGAAGTAAACCAAGGTTCAAATGAATGATACTGGCTACGTTTAGATTGAATTTTTATGAGGATTTGCTCCACTGCCTTTCATTTTGACATATTTAGGATTGAGGCCTCAGCAATTCAAACTTTGCCCTCTGCCAGCTCAGGGAGACAGTAAGACCAGCAAACTCAAAACAATCAGTCCAACAGACACACTGACTCACCTCCCTGACACTCCTCCTTGCTGGTATTGAAGCCGGCGTTTCCATTGACAAACTGGCAGATGGAGTAGAGACGACAGCCGCGATGACAGGCGTTCATTATGGAGTCCTAAGAGCCAGACACAGAGAGAGATGATGGGACACACACACACACACACACACACACACACAAAATTAGAGATGTCTCCTGCACTCTTGGATAAACGCAAGATGACCTTGTTTGAAAATATGACAAAGATGGGTCATGGCATCTCTTAATGACATGGTGCAGCTGTTGTATTACAGCCTGTCATAAACAGTTGATACAAAGCTTTTAGTCCCTGCAGAGAAAAAGTGGCCATAATGAGCCAGTTGCGTACAAACTTGTGCAGGAAAATGAGGTGGTGAGAAAGGAAGCTGCGCATTACCGTACTTCCTAATTATCATAATGCCTCAATTCTCCGGTTGAAATGAAGAAACAGCTCCCTCTGGTGACCTCTCTGGGAACAGGAGCGACAACGAGATTCCCTGGCCGCGGTTTATTACAGCCTCGTGCTTGACATCATCTTAACTGCGTTTCACTGTTTATTCACGTGAAGCACAGAGGGGTATTTATGACAAACCATGAAATTGTGCCTTAGAGTTTAAAGGCCAATGCTTCTTCACCATCTCTGTTGCTGTCCAGTATGATGGCCCTAAACTCGACATATAATCAGAATCTTCAAAGCAGACTGTGATCCGGTTTGCAGCTCTGCTCCTGCTGCAGGACGGGTGAACCACACCTGAAGGCAGCAGAGGAGAAGGAGGGAGAGGAGGAGGTGGTGGGATGAAAAACATCCGACATTGGAAATAGGCCTATAGGCAAGTTTCTAAAGCACAGAAACTCCTGAGCAGTTCACAGCCATCATCAACCGTCCTGCTCGGATGCAGTCTGGCCTTGTCTAAGCAGGAAGATAAAGGGTAGCCAAATTGCTTCGCAATGGTCTCACTGATCCTCCAGCTTGCGATTCGCCTGGCCTGACCGATCCTTATTATATTCAAAATGATCAATTATTGGCGCAGTTTATTGCAAGTAGGCTACATCTGAGATTAGCTGACTGGATGCAGTTCAATTCTTAGTCGAGTCTTTAAGGTGCAGAAGAAAATGAGCTGCATCCATTTTTCGGCCTAATTGTGCGCCGTAGCATCCAAGAGGATGCAGCGAAAAATCGGAACGAGCATGGTGCCCGTGGTTACGCGCAGACATAAACACGTTTATTTATTATTTATAATATAAAGATGTAGAATTTTGCCACGCAGAATATATTGTGTCAGTCTGTGCGTCGTTGCTGCCGCTGAAATGTCGGACAGCAAGACGTAGCTGTCAGCTCGTTGCTGATAATGCGCTTTCTGCAGAGACAGCCTACGCTACACAGGGATAACTTACTTTAGCGGGGCTTTTGTTTTTGATGGTGAGCTGGCATTGCTGTTTGCAGTAATTGATATCGCCCAGTTGGTTGTCAAACAGATCCGAGGACGCCGCCGCGAGCCCAGCAAGAAGCACCGAGAGGAGTGCCGACAAGCCGCACATCCTACTGCCGAGCCGGAGCATCTCAAACCCTGGAGGAGAAGAGGAAAGTCGAGCTTGAATCAGAATTGAGCTCCCTTTGTGGCGGCGCTGCTGGTGCGGATGCTGCTGCTGCCTCAGCCCGGGTCCTGTCTGCTCCGCTGAGCTGCTTCTGCTCCTGGCGTCACGCGCATCGTCATCATCATCATCATCATCATCACGCACGAGCTGCTGTCTCCCAACTCACACTCACACAACCTGCAGCGTAACTTTCACTGCAGTGCACAAAGGGTCAGTAATGATATTCATAAAACGGTGGCAGGTAGTTCTTCAGAGAGGCAGATGTCCCGCACAGAGCAGAAGTGTTGACAGATCATACACCACCAGTGTGACAGTTATCAGCTGGATGTAAAGACCCTGCTGCAGCACATGTGGGCCACACCACAAATCATCGGAGGAAAGATTACCTGCAGAAACAACAGCTGATAAGAGCGACCTCAGAGTCAGAGCTACACATACATTTAGTGAAAATATGTGTTTTATTATTTCATTGTCTGTTCGATGCTTTATTTGTGATGATGACTGTCATATTATGCATATATAATGTATATGCTGTTCTGTCTATCACTGTCTAGGTTTGTATGCAAATAATTAATGCAGCATCAGGTATATGTATGTAAAATCTTAAATTGAGTAGAAATAGTGATGTAAAGTAGGGTAACGTTAGGTAAATTGGACTGCTTTTCAGCAACATTTTGAAATAACCACACAAATACCAATGCACATACATTAAAACTTCCAAAAATGTTCTGCTCCTCTTCTGTCTTCTGTTACTTCTCTTTTATTATTTTCATGCTTAGTCAAAATAATGTTTTTACATTCTAGAGGTGATCAATTGTCAGATGTCCCCAGATTTGGCTGTGATCAGCTGAAATCGGCCACATGTTCAGATAAACTTTAAATCAGACAAAAAAAGCTTATCTTGAACAAAGACCTATTGGGACACAAGAGAATAGTGTTTAAATCATGTTTTCATATTTCATATGAAAATTGATTATTAGATATATGAACTACCAATACAATGTAATAGACATTAGAAATATTAATTGTATTTATAGGCTATTATACTACAAGTGAAGATGCACTAAGTGCTTTACATAGTGTACCAAGAATGAATATAGGCTAAAACCAACTATACCGTGTTTCTACGACACCGGACATCAGTGCAATATTAATGATACATTATTCACCTTACATTTCATTGGTTCATTCATTTCTTAAGAATATATCAACCTCATCATGGAAAAGTCAAGACAATCACCATTAATTCTTTCCCACCAGTGTCCATATAATGAATTACCCCACCCACCTTAGCAACCTCAGACCAATCAAATCAGTTTAAACAAAGCAAGTGCAATTTCAATATATTAACAGTGATTGGCTATTAAAATGTATAGACCTATATCACTTCAACCTATTTGAGTAAATTTAGGTACCTGGTTACACTGCGCCGCTTTATTATATAATAGGTACAGTATTATATATCCAGTAAAGGATATTAATTTTATATAACATGAACCGTCTTTATTCGACTATGAACTTGTATAGTATATAACTGATAAAACAATAAAAAGTGTATAATGTTGAACTCAAACTTTATCTTACTTTTGATTTGTGTGTGTGTGTGTGTGTGTGTGTGTGTGTGTGTATCAGGGAGGGGACTAATTAAGGAGCATTAATGACTTGTGGCCGTTTGGAAAAAACAAGGGAGGAGTTTAAGTGTTTGAGCAGCAGCAGCAGAGTAACTCTGGAGCTAAAAACGAAGAGCACCTCGTGTTTCAGTCAGTGTAGTCTCCTGACTTTCAGTGAAGAACCTCTGGAGAGTGAGGCTGCGCGGTTCCTCTTCAAACTTCACCTCGCTGTCTGCTCTCCACGTCCCGGTGTTCCGGAAACAAGAAAGCGGCTGGAAGAACCATGTTTGCCTTCATGTTTCTCCTCCTCCTTGCTCCACATGTGTTGTTGTCCTCGGCACGTAAGTAGGCTACCAAACTTCAGTCAACTGGCAAGCCTGCGGTGCATTAGAGCGTTTCTGTCGGTTCAGACCGCACCGTGGTCTGGGATAGGAGGATATGTGTGTCAATTTAAAGCAGTAGAGTTACCTAAAGCTTATCGTGTTTTCTAGAGTTAGCTGCTACATGGAGGCACCAAATCAAAGAGGAGTTCATGTTTTAAATCAGTTAATGCACTAAAGGGTAATTTATTTCCACCTGTCCCGGTGCTGTTTTCACCCCACCTGTAATAAATATGTATTAGTAGATTTTCAAGAAGTTCTAATGCTAATGTCTGTCATTTGATATCGCGATACTAGTACATTTTTATGGAAAATCAGCAAGGAAAGTATTTATGGATAAATAACCAAATGGAAATGTTTGTTTTTGTCTAATGTTAAGAATTAAAAATCCGTCAAATGAAGGAACTAAAATTAATGCAAAAATTTAATAAAAATTACCAATCACTATTGTAATGAGAGTTTAAAAATCCAATAACTATCAGCAAGTATTATTTTTTAACAAACACCTCTGAAAAGGATTCCTTCAGGTCCAAATTAAATCCAGAGGCAGTGACAACACATAAATATGAGTAATCATTTGATGTGATTGCATACCCAATGGTGGATTAGGCAGAGAGCAAGACCTTTTAGACATGGTGGTGATGTAACTGATGAGACAAATTTAATTAATAACAGCGCTGCTGCATGAAGGAAATGCAGGAAAGATAACAATGTGCCAAGTTATCAACATGATGAGAGTTATTATCATAAGACCGAGAACATTATCTGCAAGTAGCTTCTTTATGTGTGATGAAAAAACATATAAACAAATGTATGTTTGTTGTTTTTCTCATGTATATTTCCTACTTAACATTATTTCTTATACTGACTACCACTCACTAGGGCCCGGAGGTGAATCCTCTTTCTTCTTGCACGTAGATTCAGCTTTCATCTCTAGATATTGTTCTTCATATTAGATGCTGAGTCCAGGGACGCTGGAAACAGCGCAGTGGCACACATGTTGGAAAGCTTGTCCACCGCCCACCTGGAGCACGGTTAATAAAACTCCACACATTAACCCTCATATCTTTGTGAAGAAGAACATTCAGACGCACAGCAGAGGGGTTCTCATGGGCATCAATCATAAAGGAAAACTTTAAGTCTAAGAGGGCTTGGGGTACGGAAAAGCATTCAAGGAGTTTTGCCGACAAACCAGGGTGACCTTTCTGACTGATCCTACTGAGCCTCCATAAATCCACTTCATTACTGGGTCATAAATGTATGCTGAGCTCCTGCTCTGTTGTGGCGCAGTGCTGCTGCTGCTCTCCTCCTCCTCCTCCTCCTCCTCCTCCTCCTCACACAAACACAAAGCTTTCAGTTGGTAAGACATTTGAACACACTGCAGTGTTTCTTGTTGGAAATGTTTCAATGTGTTAAACACTTGAACACATCAAACTGCACAGACCAACAGCTGCCCTGGACATAATGCATGCTATGAAGGAGTGTCTAATCAATGAAAGTTAAAGGGTGAGAGGGAGCTGGAAACCTAAAATGTAAATGAAAATGCACTGTGGTCTTGTTAGGAAAACAACATTAGCAAATTTACTGTATTTTTAACTTTGGTAACCTTTACAGTTAATAGTAGCTTCAGTAATGTAAATAAACTAATTCACATCTGATGAATGTAAAGTAGCAGGTGTTTAGGTGCATAGCAGAATTAAATCGTATAAAAAAAAAAAGTAGTGAACTTCTGTAAACTGTCAGCACTAAATGTATAGAAGAAGCAATTATTTGGCCATGGACCTTCATCCAGCATGTAACATACAATACTAATAGTATAATAGTAGCACTTGCTTCAGAATCGTCAAAAAAGGGATGAAATCATTGGAATAAATCTATGTACAATAATTAGTGAAATTGGTAAAACAGTAAGTTGATTAAACATGTAGTCCATTGAAAGAAAATGTAATTAGTATTATAGATTCATCATTTAAGTCATTCATCAAACAAAAATGCAGCACATTTGCAGGTTCAAGTATCATAAATGTGATGATTTGCAGTTTTTCCTCTGGGAACTTTAAATTTAAAGTCAGTGTGTGTGTGTGTGTATGTGTCCACCACCCAGATTTAGCAGAGATCTCCCCTCAAGATCCTGTCCTGCATATTGGCTCCAGTCTGACGGCCAAGTGCATGCTGAGCCCTGAGCTTGGCCTCCACGCCAGCATGCTCTACTGGACGCTGAATGGGATGTGTCTGTCCAGCAGCACCTACAGCGTGGTGAGCCCTGACATCCTGAGCGTCACCCTTCACAACCTAAACGGCTCCCAGCAGCAGTCTGGAGACAACCTTGTGTGTCATTCAGCAGATGGACACGTCCTGGCTGGTTCTTGTCTCTATGTGGGCAGTAAGTGGAGGCTTTTTTTTCTCTCTGTTTGGCTTTTTAATAACTGAAATTATTGAGAGCTTGAGTCACTTAATACAGCTGCCATTTAACAGAATGAAATAATGACTTGATTTGCGCGATTTGATGTTTGGAAAATGTACTGATAACATACTGAATGTTTTTAGCTTCAAAAACCATTGTTGGTGCACCCCTAATTTAAACTTAAGGGTTTTTTAAAACGAGAATCTTTATATTTCTGAATTGAGGATGGTAAGAAGCCAGTTGTCACAAATGTAAAATAAGATGTAGCTTGTTAAACACTAAACAAACAAACTAAACAAACAAGCATCGTGGTCATCCCTGTAGTAACTTCCTGCCCTAATTAACTAACTTTAAATAAATACAAACCCAAATAATCACAAATGAAACAGAACAAGGTGTAATAAAACCTTTCTATGTTGTTGTTATAAATATAAAAGGACATACTAATCCTGTGAATGAATATGTTATAAAGCACTGTGGATTCATAAGAAATGTTCCTTTATTGAGATGCAGATGAGTTAGGATTTTAATCCATTAAAATATTTTTTACAAAGGACATCCTAAAAGCTTACGATTTGGTTTCCATGTTTTGCTGTGTTGTCACTTCACCTTTAAAGTAAAAGTGATGCAGTAAAATGTATCTGTTTGGGGAACCTAAATATAAAAAGTGTGTGAAACATCACAAGACTCTTTAACATTTGTACAACTTAAAACTTTTTAACATTTTAAGTTGTACATGCACTCCTTTTGATTCTTGTCAGTCTGTAATGCTTTAAAGTCTCTCTAATCTGCTTCTTTAATGCATGGGCTTGGTGGAGTGATTGCTTCACATGAATAGAGAGGAAACATTTCAGAATAAAATTACATTAAAATGAAATGTTCATTCAACCACACTTTTTAGTTAAAAATAATTTCTTTCATTGCTCCTTTTGCTCTCCAGTGCCCCCGGAAAAACCAGTCAATATAACGTGTTGGTCCCGCAACACAAAGGACTTGAGCTGCAAGTGGAGCCCAGGGGGGCGGGGTGAGACCCACATCCCAACCCAGTACACCCTCAAGTACAAATTGAGGTGAGCGCCCCAGACCTGCTGCAGCTCACAGGTGATCACCTCGTCCAACACCACTCAGGTAGACCAGCAATAAATGCACTAGTGCCGCGTACAGTTCATCCTCTGCAACACATACCACACTCAGAGGCGTGTTAAAAATAGCCAGTCTGCCTTTTCAGGAACAAAACGCCAGACGTTACTGTGGTCATTGTGTTTGTTGTGTTTCTGTCCAGGTGGTACGGGAGAGAGAAGGAGTGTGAAAATGACAGCACGGGGAAGCAGCGTTACTCCTGCCACATCCCCCGCAACCTCGCCCTCTTCACTCCGTATGAGATCTGGGTGGAGGCAGCCAATCAGCTGGGCTCTGCCACCTCTGACATCACCACCCTGGACGTCCTCGATGTAGGTGGGTAAGCGCAAACGTTTTGAGCATGTCAGAAGTTGTTTTTCATTATTTTTAATTAACACAACTATTTTCTTTCCTTTCCTCTCCTGTCTTTTCCTTTCTTTTCTTGTCCTTTCCTTTCCTCTGTTTGACCTTTTGTTTGTTTGTCTGCAGATCTCCTGCATATGGCTACCACACTTCTCTAGGGGAGAGGGGGATTTATTTTTATAGCTCACTCCCTCCAACTTGCCGCTCTAACAGCATTATGGGTTCAGGCTGCGGGGTCTTAAAGATAAACGGTGTTGTTATAAAAGTTAACCACACATCAGATGCCTCTCAGGTAATAGCTTCACAGGTTTCTCAATGAGAAATTTAGGTTATGATGTACGAGTGATGGCAGGTATTCCTTACAATCTCTCCAGCTAGCTAATGTAATAGTGTAGTGTTTGGGCCTCCAGTGAGCGGCACATTCGGAAAGCAGTGTTTATTGGCCGTGACTAGAGCATACTCTCCCTCCATTCATCCTCGCTGCACACTGAGGAACAGATACCTCGGAGCTGTGAGTGGGCTGGAAAGGAAGGAGGAGCGTTGCCATATGTATGATGCATTGCACTGCCTCAATAACAGAAACAATAAGCTCGGAGAATATTTGTTCTGGCTTAGTTTTCCTCTCTGCCTCGAGCTGAATGCCATAGAACAAATAAAGTACGTCAGCTAAAAAACCAGCGTCACACGCCAGAAGAGAGGGATGTCAGAAGCAGAAGGTTACCAGCAGGAAACACTTTTACAAGACTTTTAATAAGTTCTTTTAATAAGTTCCTTTCCGTGTCGCTCATGCTGCCATCCACTTTATCATTCTCCACTTCAAAGCACTCGATTTGTTTGCGACCTTTATTGCAGTAGGTATAATGTTTTGTTTAGTGCTGACTGAGAGTACAACATGCTCTCTACAGGAAGTACAGACTGACTGGAACCAGCCGGCCGGTCTGCACAGGAGGGGAACTTTCTATGCCAAGTGATTTTTTACATATTCAAATGAAAATACCTTACTCTTCCACTTGCTCATTGTTCTAATAGCAGGCCAGCAACCTCTATACAGAATCTAAAAGGTGACGGACATCTGGAAAATCATTTTTCATACTCTTTCTATTATTGTTGGAACATTTATTCCCTTGCTTCAAGAAGTGCTGTTCCTAGATGAACTGTCCTGTTTCTGTTTCTCTTTTTATTTAACAACTATTCTCTCATGTACATACAGTATGTGCCAACAGAGTTCTACTTGTTTGTAAGTATATTGATTTACAGTATGTTATGACTATTCCCCTGCGTGAGGTTTATACAGAAGAATAGTATGCTTTTGGGGACATAAACCGTTACTTTGTGGTAAAGCAGACCACAAAAAAGTATTTTCGTGACCCGTGTCCTTTGTACTTTCAAAGGGAGGTGAAAACTAGTCCAGATCGAAGCGGCAGTGGCAAAGATATCCATGCTTTTAGTCTCCAGTATGGGCTGAGCTCCAAAAACGCTGGATCCTACTCTTCCCATAATGCAACTCGATAACATCTTTCATTTGACTTTCCCTGCCTGATAAATGCTCACATTTTTCAAACTCCTCGTCCCACAAAAATACATTTTTATTTGAGTAATATAAAAATGTACAAGAGAATCACACTTTACCTTTCTTTCTTTATACTTTTCAAAAGTACCAGCTTGATTTACAGATCACATAATTATTGTCTTTTGTCCTCACTTCATAACTTTCATAACTATTCTGAAATAAAAGCTTTTTGTTATTTTCATAATGATTTTAACTAACTGACCTTTTTGTTCTGAAAGAGGCTGATTAGAGAGAAGAATCGATAAAGAACACAATAGTAAGAGAAAACAAGAAACAAAGACTTTATAATGAAATTAATCACTTTGTTGTACTTTATTTCCTTCAAAAGAGGAATTGAATTTAAGGGAATATGTACAAAAATCAATCCAAAACATGTCGATCCAAGGGTTTATCAAGGAATGAAAAAGACAACTACAAAATTTAACTTGTGTATGAGACAGATGGAAGATGAGATATGCCGTCTGTCTGCCCTCAGTGTTATAGTGCAGTATTTGCAGTCTCTCTAGAGGTCAAACCTCTTGTATCCTGTATCCTTGCCCTAACTACTGTATATCTGCTGTATACAAACACCTGTCCTTGTCCGTGCAGTGACTACAGACCCTCCTACCAACGTGCAGGTGAGTCGTGTCGGCGACCTCGAGGACCAGCTGACGGTCCGCTGGGCCAGCACCCCCGAGCTCAAGGACATCCTGTTTCAGGCCAAATATCAGATACGCTACAGAGTGGAGGACAGCACTGAATGGAAGGTGGTCCACACACTCACACACACCTAAAGACTAGCATACAGTTTCTAAAGACTAGTCTGCATTAAATTATGACACGTCTGAGAAACATTTCAGGTGCAGCACTGACTGATCCGTGAAATAATGAACATAAATGTTGCTCATGCAGCGTCTCTAGCCGCTTGCATGTACGTCAATCTTTATAAAGCAAATAATGCTTGTGGTAAAAGGCTTGACTGCTGCTAGTGACTCTTTAATGGTACATTTTGAAAGCTGGCTTCGATCCAAAAGTGCAGCAGCAGAGCTTTTAGAAAATGTCATTCTTTCAAACTGCTTCTTTGATGTTTTCTGCCCACAGATTCTTTATGTTTTTCTCTGCTGTGTTGGTATGTCTTTGACTTCTGGATTTACTATTGAATGAGAGGATTAAGCAAATAATGTTTAAATATATATATCTGAAGCCAAACTTGTCAAATCTACCTTAAAAATAAAGCAGAACAAAGTTTAAAATACAAATGGTGAGAAAAGATGCAGCAAATATTTCTGTTCAGTCGGTGCTGAGGAAGATTTTGACTGTCATTTTAGTTCATCTTCTCTGTCATTTTGTTCCCTCTCAAGGTAGTGGATGATGTTGGGAACCAGACGTCATGTCGGCTGGCAGGCCTCCGGCCCGGCACCGTTTATTTTGTCCAGGTGAGGTGCAATCCAGTGGGCATCTATGGCTCCAGGAAGGCCGGCATCTGGAGTGACTGGAGCCACCCAGCTGCTGCCTCCACACCCAACAATGGTGAGTACATCGCAGAGATAAACAAATCCCACTTTCAGTATGCTATTCTTTGGTTGCAGGACAAATGCAAATAATTGCAGGAAATATAATAAGACTGAATGGAAAAAATTATGCCTGTGTTTTCTGGACATTTGTGGACAAGTATAACTGAAGCTGTCATTTCCTTCCTTTCTAATAACCAACCTTTCACTGCCAATTAAAGCCTAAAAACCCTCAATGTCCTTATCCCTGTTTCAACATCCCGAACAAGCAGATCCAACCCGCATGTGACTCAGGAGAAACCAAACATCAAAAGGCTAGATACCTTGATACAGATCTCCCAGCAGAGGATTAAAAGGAACTGCAAAGAGCCAGGGGAACATTTGATAGATTTTGATCATCAGCATCAGATATTGATCAAGTTAAAAAGCTGGTTGTCTGTCCGCAGCACACACAGGGCCTATAAAGCTTGAGTGGAAGCAGGTTTCGGAGCAGGAGGAGGAGATAATGAGTTACACTGGGCATGTGGAATTTACTCCCCAGAGGGAGGAAGTCCTTATTGGGCTCTGTTGTTTGCCATAAAGAACTGATTGTAGCAGACTTACGACTTTCAGTAGCCTATCTTCCCCAGAAGTGTGGTATATCACTTCCATACTTTAGAACATCAAACTGAGAAATATTTATCTTTATATAAAAACGTTTGCATCTCATTTTGCAAAATTAAGCAACATGAATCATCATAAATGTTCACTTAGGAACTCTGTTTTTACCGGAGGCCTCTCAGGTAGAGAGAGGTGAGAGATGTGCTGTGTTTCTATATTTAATTTCTTTTTAATAATACACCAGAGCATATATCTTAGTGTTTGAGACGGATATAAAAAAATGGCATTTCTATTCAGGCTGTAACTAGGCACAGTGGTGCTTGAGCTAAATGCTCCGTCAGCAGGCTAACATGCTCGCTATGTCAATAATAACATACTGATGTTAAGCAGGTGTGATGATGTTTCACCATCTTTATTTAGTAAGTTAGCATGCTAACATCTGCTAATTAGCACTAAATGCAAAGTACAGCTGAGGCTGAGGGGAATGTCAGTACTGTTGTAGGTATTTGGTCATAAAGTATTGGACACATTTTTAGCGCTAGATGAGAAGTCAGGGGATCACCAATGTTGTTAGAATTTATCCTTTGGGGAACATGAATGTCCAAAAGTTGTAAAGCTATTTCAGTCTGGACCGACCACTGAAATTGCCATCCCTAGAGCCACGCCGTTAACGCAAAAACAATTGAATTTACAATTGGTCAAAAACAATTGAATTTACTTTATTTCTCCGGATTCATTTAATGTAAGTGTCAGTACTGCTTTCTGCATTCAAGAGAGGCTTCAGTAGATATGTATAAAAAAAGACAAAGCATATCAAACAATAGCAGATAAAGCAGATCGATTAATCAAAAGGGAAAATGATAATTACAACATGTATTTATTTAAGAGTGAGGTATCTGCTCTTATGGGGTTTGAGTTGATTTTTACTTTGGTGAAAATGTTTCTGCTTGAATGAAGTTATTTATAAAAAAGTGTATCACATCAATGCTGACACACAACACAGTGAGCAGCCTGTGCATGTAGCTGTACACCACCTTGCACTAACAATTGTCCTAACTATAACCTTGATGCTGTTCTCTCATCCTCCCTCCTTTTCTTTACACACACTCTCTCCTTTGTCTCTCCCCTCCCAGAGCGGCTGCAGAGCGGCTCCTGTGATCCTAAGCCCGGTGAGCAGAACTCCACCCTGCGGCGGGAACTCAAGCAATTCTTCGGCTGGGTCCGCAAGCATGCGTACGGCTGCAGCGGCATGTCAATCAAACTGTACGACCAGTGGAGGGTTTGGCTGCAGAAATCGCACAAAACGCGCAACCAGGTAGGTAAGCGGAACCTCTCTCTCTTTTCACTATCTCTGCAGAGCTGCTCTCACAAACCCACACTCACAAACAGCCACCGCTGCTGCATTGAAGTCCCAAACTGAATTTCTGACCCTGCCTTTTTTATGCCATGTGGTCAGCACTGTTACAAACACAAAGGGGACTGATTTCTCTTGTACTGGCTGGCTCTGTGGAGTTTTAGTCCGCACTTTATGATCAGGTAAAATGTGCGGTTTTGGGCCCAGAATTGGGAGCATAAAAGTAGATATGCTTTTGTCGTGACCTCTGATTTTATTACATATTTTAACAATGTAGACTTCTGATCTTCAGCTGATGACCACAACAAAGAGAAACAAACATGTAAATATAATTAACAGCCCACTGTAATGTGCTCCTTTTGTGTTTGGTTTTCTCTTGGCATGAGGAGCCCCTTTCACAAAAATAACTCGGGCCAAATGGCACGCAGAGCCCCGGCATCTTCTGTGTTTGTGACTTTGTGAGGAGTTCAGATCTTTCAGCCACATCCTCTGCTGTTCAGTCCTTGAACTCATGGAAACCTTCACTCCACCTGACTCAATTATCTCAGCAGTCTGCGTGTTTTTTGTGCTTTATAGGGCACACGCTGTCTCCTGAATAATGTCTTTGTTCACAAACCTTGACAGGTTCCCATTGATTACCTTGAGAGAAAGTAGCTGGGGAGCGACACACACAGAATATGAAAGAGATGATGCAAAGAATGACGCAGAGGAAAAGAGAGGACAAGAGAAAAGTGGCAGCCAGACAGAGCAATTATCGTGATTGTAAATTACATGGTTTTTCACGCAAAATTATCCCAGTATGAACCATCTGCTTTTGTCTTTTCAGATTCTACAAGACGATAATTCATAGCACCATCACTCAGCACCACTGTGGTGCTTAATTCAAGAAGAGCATAAAGAAACACTGACAGATAACTGGCCCCGAGGGTCCCAGCTGTGTGAGAGGTCCAACGCCCCGCTTGAGGGATACTGCAGTGTTTGGTCATACAGCCTTAACTTGAGTTTAAAGGGCCCGAGTGGAGGATAATTAAAGTGAGACAATGCAGCCTTTTTCTGCCATTTCCTCTGGCCAGATCTTTCTGTTAGATGTGTTTGCACAAACACAAGTATTTAGGCTGTTGATAACTGAACTTATACTCTGAACAGAAAATGTTATCGGAACATTTTTTAATAACTTAATGTGAGATAAGCAAGTCTTTAATGCTACATTGATGTCAAATGGTACTAAAGTATTACTGAAGCATCTACAAAAACAAATTGCCATGGCAGTAACACAATGGACTGGGAACAAAATGCATAAAACCGTAATCCTACTTTTCCAGGCCAAGAAACACAAAGTATTTTTGTGAAGCTGTGGTTTTCTCCAAGAAAATCTGAATTTTTCAGTTTTCCAGTGTTGTGGCCTTGTATATCTCTATATCTATTACTATTGGAAATAACTAGTTCAGGATTGGACTGCAGTTATTATATGATAAAATGTTATTTTTATTATCAATTAACTGCTGATCAGTTTCTCAATGACTGGATTACTTGATTTATCGATAAAATGTCAAAATGAAATGTGAAACTTGTAAAACAATATACCAGTAATTTGCTAAAGGCCAAGGTGACATAATGTTTTCTTTTGTCTTACTGAAACCCAAAGATATTCCATTTACAATGATTATAAATCAGAGAGAAGTTGACTGTACTGACAATCGAGGAACTGGAACCAATGAATGTTTGGCATTTTGCAACACAAAAATAGACTTAAAACAAGTAATTACAAAATAGTTGGTGAATAATTTTCTATTGACCAACATAACATTTTATTCTCTGCTAGTTCAGTGAAAACTATATTTGTAGAAGCATCTAAAATGTTGTATGACATACCATTCATTAAAATTGTATCAGTAATTGAATACCCATGAGATAATGCCTCACTATCTGTACAATGTATATACTATCCTGTGTCTGAGTAGACCATTTGTTTATATTTTTATAACTGCATATTTAAAAAATGTTTTTTGACTTAAGTTCTACTCTTTTACTGCACCAGTAATGCCGCTAAAAAATGTATAACATATAGAAGAGTAAAAAGTCAAACTTGTCTTGAAAGTGTCTTGTTTAAAAATGCCGTTCATCAAGTCAACAAAGACAGCTGGATGAGCCTCCAAGAATTATTTAACCTTTTTAGTATTTACACATTTCATCACAACAATTTTTGTTTCTTGTTTTTTTTGCTGAGAAATGCAGTGACACAAACACACGACTACAGATGTAAACACACAGAGCCAGAATGTGATAACTCCCCTGGGTGGAATAAGACTGCAGCAGCGAGCAGGGTGGGGCCAGAGTGGGATCAATAAGTGCAGCTGAGGAGTCCAAGATGGAAGTTGCAGCAGAGCCGAGTCGATCTGTCAGCTCTGCTGTCTGGTGATGTGAGAGGGCGGCTGCAGGCCTCCTGGGAGTCACCTGTCAATCACACTCCTCAGAGTCATACTTAAAGTCCTGCATGATCTCACTCAGAGCCTCTTGGTTCTTGATGATCCTGGACAAAGAATGAGCCCAGAAAACACATCGGTTATTGTGTTACAAACGTTTAGGAATATCTTTTGACAGTTTTGTGATGGTGAGGTATAGTCTGTTAAAGTAGGTGGAAACAGGAAGTCCTGCAGCCGACAGCAGGTTGATAGTGAGTGAGTGGATCGGTCAGCAGGGAGCTAGCGCAGTAAACGGAGGGGTGGTAATAGCTGCACTTACTCGTGCTTGATCTCCTGAATCTTTTCTTGACAGTCCTCTTCCTCCGGGTGATCCTGGGCCCGCTGCCTGACCAGCTGCAGCTTGGCTGTCTGTTGAGAAGGCACATCAGATAAGATTTATGCAAACCATTCATCAGCGGAGGACGGAGGGGAGGAGATGGAGTTTGAACTTGCAGAGAATAGGAGCTTTATGATAGTACTGGCAGACAGGAAGTGGAGTCTAATATTATAACGGTGTGTAAAACTGTAGTTAAAAGTGCTTCACATCACTGAACACCAGATGTATGAGATGTGGACCGAGGCGTTTTCATTTTATCAGCAGTCTCCCTCGAACTGGCTGTTCAATGGTGATGAGCGTCACAGACTGAGTTTAGATTTCAGGTCACTAACAACACTGCATCATCACTAAATGACTTAAATTCAACTGAATTAGGAGTTTTCTTCCATAAGTGGCTTTTACTTTTACATAAATGTATGACTTGAGCTACCAGCGTAAAAAGAATAACTGAATCATCAATGTGACAGTGTTAAACACATACAAGACAGCAATAATGAAAGGGTCTTGTACAAGAGCTGCCTCCTTGTGGCGAAACACTGGAACCGTCTCAAATATTAAACAAACAGTGTGAACTTGAATGGAAGGCTTACATTTCATGTTATTTATTTGAAACTGAGGTTAAGTGGATGTTTGAAACAGAAAAAATCTTGTAAACAGTTATAAAGCAATATTAATGTTTAATTACACCGTAAATGCATTCAAATAATTTATTAAAGGAATTTACAAATGAGGAAAATACAATGAAGAATAACAAATAAATTAACCCTCCAAACTGAACTGCATTTACATACAACTAAACAAATCAAAATGCCTTTTGAGAATATTATCCTTTTGAACACTGCCCTGTATTTGTTTGTGGACTACTATTTACTTAAGTTATTTATTACTCAAAATCATAATTGATGCATATGACACTTTTTTTTTTCATATGCAAACATTGCATCATCCAGAACAGAGAACTTCTTGTTACATGGCTTGTCACAACTACGCAGTAGGCATTTTGTCTCTTATGTATCGACTGATTTAGGGCTCAAACGATTCATCAAGAAACCTAATTACTTCGTTTAATCCATATAACTCTATTCGCACTGTTTCGCACGGACGATTATTACTGTCGCACAAAACTGTTTACCTACCAGTTCAAGTTTCTGCTTCTCTTTGCTCTGCAGGTTCTCAATGTGCTCAGAAAGGTCTGGCCTGTCAAACTCGTGGTGCAGCCTCCCCTTGATCTCCAGCACTTCATTGGAGATGCCACAGAAGGCCTGTGTTACCTCATGGACCAGCTGCCTGTAGTGGTCGAAGTCATAATGGGGCCCTGTCCTCAAGTAGGCCTCGTGTCCTCTGGAAGGCAGCAGCCAAAACAACACCAATAAAAAAAACACAAAAACAAGCATGAATAACTGAGAAGGGCAGATTTCTTTGTTTAAGTGCCTGAAATGAAGATCAATGATCCCTGGAGACAGGAGGAAATGTGGTTGTGAAAGTAAGTGTGTATAGTTATGTTACATCCACACATACTCTTCAAACAGCCGATACGTCTCTACCCGCTCAGACTGCAGGTGATAAAACCTCTGGATCAGGGCTTTAAAGTCTGTAGGGATCTACAAGGGGGAAACACATTAAAGCAAGTTAACACCTGGCACGCACTGAATTAACAGAATATTAATCCACCCAAGTTGGATAAATAATATTATTTTTATTAATGTTAAAATCAAATAGATAATCTTATATGATTAAAGTGTTAAGCTATATATAGTTAAATCTTTGGCATTTCAACAGATTAAGTAAGGATTTTATTTCGGTTAAGAGCTCTAATAACCTGTGATGTTTGACATATTATTGGCCAAGTTATTATTAATCAAATAGATAACTATGCGTGAAGAATATAGTTAAGCTATATATAATTAAATCTTTACAAATATTTATATCCATAAATTATTATGAATTAATTATGTTTTTGCATTTGAACAGCTCTCATAACCTTTGATCTTTGACATATTATCAGCTATATTAATATTGATTAATCTAAAGATAAAAAAACAACATTGTTGAATCATTTTAATACCACTATCAATGTCGACTACACTGTTAAGCAAATAGTGTTTATCATGAGGAAATAAAACAAAGGCTTGTTAGGGGGCTCATCTGTTTTAGCTTGAATAAAGTTACATGTACCAAGCAGCCCACTGCCAACAACTACAGCTACAGTTGCCAAGTTAGCAGTAAGTTAGCTTGGCTTAGCTTAGCACATGTTAGAGTAATCGTTTTGAGGCATTCAGACATTTAACTGTAGTATAAAAATGCCAGCTACTCACCATGGTAACCTGCCAGAAAATACTGTCGCTGAGTTTCCACAGTTTATAACACTGACATGTTTATATTTTATAAATACAGAGCGCTGTTTCCCTCCTCCATGTGAATCAGCAACCTGCCTGCCATGTCCCCCGGAAGCAAACACGCTGCGCAGTGTTGGCTTACAAAGTAAAAGCTCTCACACAACAGCAGCCTTAGACGGTTCCTTTGTGACACCTGGGTTAGGGTGAAACTGTCTTGTTTAATGAATACAGTTGAAGCATTGTTTAAACAAAGCTTTTCTGTTTTAGTGCTACATTTGTAATGACATGTTCCTGTGTGATGATGCTGAACCTGAACCTTGAGCTGTTCCTACAGCTGTGTGACAGTGTTTCCCAATTAACCCATAGCAGCTTGAGAGTTAAAATTTTATAATCATACACACTACAACATTAGAAAACTGTTGCTTCAGTTCAGTTGTTCAATATTTGCATGTTCTTGAATGCCTTGTATATTTTTTATTGTTTTTGTGTTTGCTGCTGTAATCAGTATTTTTTATATAATCTTTACCATAAGGAATATAAGAAAGTGCCTTGAGTTGCTGTGGTAGAGGGCTGCAGGCCCTGCGACTCCCCTCACTTCAGTGTGTAACAGGCAGGACACCTGCCATCTGGGTGCAGGAAGGCACAGCCAGTAACCACATATTAAAATGGAGAATAGAAAAAAAACTGCAGTTAAAAATCGATTGGTATGTGCCTTGATCGACTGTCAGCCTCCGCTTGCTTTTAACCTGATAGTATTATCTGTGTCTGATATTTTAGGTAAGTGCCAACCTCTGAAGAGCTTGGTCTGAGGTGGATGTGGCTTCCACTGGGTCTCAAGATGTGTGAGCTGAACCAGGGATGGCTGGTAACATAGGTGTCATTTACACTGGGGACGCTGGGGACATGTCCCCACCACTTTTTGAAATTGCTGATTCTGTCCCCACCACTTTTTTAAAGCATAATTTGCTAAAGAAAACGAAGAAATACAGCTTGCAGTTAAATAACAAATGAAAATGCCTTCAGAAAGGTTTATTTGCACATTAAGAAAACATGTAATGCAATTAAAAAAAAAGTACCTTAAAATAAAATAAAAAACAAGCAACTGATTATAAAATTACCCAAAAACATGCATGCACCAGTCAGTAACTTTAACAACTTCTTGACACCGTTTCTTTTTGGTCAAGTTTTCCATTATCTCCCTTTGAACATGACAAAAGAGGAGGGAAGACTAAATCATTCCTGCATGTGTGTTGCCTCAGCAGGGATGCTATTACATGATAAAACGTTCGATCTACAGGAGAAACAGATCTAAAAGCTACACAGAATGTCTGAGAGCGGCACCGCTTTATATTCTGTTATATTTGTATATTTTGAAAAGTCATCTACCACCTGAATTTTGTGTTTCCTTTTACATAAGGGTCAATGACGTGACGCCTACATTTTGTCTCACTTTTAACTTTAATAAACATTAGCTTTTTGTAATTTTTCTGAAATCTTTTTCTGTCAAAATGTCATGTGGCCATGACTGCTGTTTTGAAAACTTTTATTTAAATCTATTCAAAATTGTGTTTTGCTCTATTTGGCATGATTTCCAAAGTGTTTTTTAGTCCTCTACAAAATTGCAAAGCATCTGTATTTATATTTCCATAATACTACACAAGTAAACTTTGTCCATTGATGTCCATTTTATGAAATATCATGTGGTGCCACCATCAACAAACGACCACTTTGGGACTTTTATGTTGAAATCCATTAGAAGACAGGAAGTTGAATAATATACCAATTTGCCAAGGTCCCATTGAAACAGCAAGTAGGTTTGTAACTCTCTCTCAAATCTGGAAAAATGTAAAATTTTAACAGCTGGTATGTAGTTGCCACTTTTGGATCTCATTTGGTATGACCTCAGAAAAACAATTAATATAAAGTTATTTCTACCAA